CAGAGAAACTATTGTCTTTATTTGCTCTTTTAAGTTTTTCCACTGTTGCTACTGACTTATCCTACGTCCTTGCCAGAAGTGGCTGGTTGTCGGTGAACTTCTCCTCGGGAACAACAACTGGATGCAACAAAGTTTGAGGACAATACTGCAAGCTACGATAACGCCAGCTCATTGACTGAATTAAAATATCATACAACTTTCCTAACTTTTACAAATCGTAGACCTGTTCCCTATTTGGGACAGCAAGTTTAGTTGAAGATATTATGCACATGTTACCCTTTTCGTCATAAAAGGATAGGCTTCAAGCTACAAGCTTGTATTTCCAACCAATATCTCCAGAGAAGAATGAAGATTTTATATTATGAGGATACAGTTTGTAATAAAGTACGAAAGCAGATATTTATGATGAAAGAGGGAAAACAAGTTTTAAAAAACAAAAACAAATAAGCAAACAAAAATATGCCGTCTGATCAAGAATTGTAAAAGTTAATAAACAACAGGCACAACAAAAAAGACCTACAAACTAATACTCTCTTTCCCTCACATAAACGCAAACACATAACAACACACACAGACACACACACACACACACACACACACACACACACACACACACACACACACACACACACACACACACACATTCACAGTCACAAAAATGTACATATTAATATGAACAGACAAATGCACAAACCGACACACACCAAAGAACTACACAGACTCTCTCACACACACGCACACACACATATGCACACACACACACGCACACACATACACACATACACATACATGTACACACACACGCGCGCGCGCGCGCGCGCGTATACACATACACACACACACACACACACACACACACACACACATACACATACACATACACGTACACAAATATATTTACAAAGGTACCCCGTGAGTCGCCGTGGATTTTCTAGAGCATTTTTTTCATTGTCACTATGTTGACTTTTTTGTAATGACAAAGTTTCGAAGTACAAATTGCAGCAATCTGTGTCGACTGAAAACCCTTACAATTTGAACATCTTTTATCATAGAGTGTAGTGGATGGGTGTTGGGCCAGGGCTAAACGGTGCTGGAATATGCCTAGTGAGGGAGTATCCTCTTGAATATATCGCCCAGTTTCGGTCGCTTACTTTAGCCATCGCCCTTTACGTCCTTTCAAGAAAAGGACATGCGAGAACTCCCCTTTCCCCTTTTTTTTCTTCTCTAGAATTGATCCAGTGACGTTGTTTTAACAACAAATGAGATGTGATAATTGTTCTTCTGAAGAGATAAAAGGCGTGACATACTCCCAAGGTAAAAAAGAAACAACTATAAACCCGAAAATTAGACAACTAAAGAAAAGGTTTGATGTCTTTTATCCCCTCACCCCTCCCCGTTTTTCCCCCTTTACTAAAATAAATTTTTTAACGGAAAAAGGCTGTGAAAATGGGTAAGATTCTTAACACCAATGTCAATTAAGATCCTAATAATAGGCCCTTACCATGTAAAAAAAATCGAAGTAAACAAATTCACAAGTTAAGATAATGACTAATTCGGAAAATAAATTTCAATTATTCAAGCGCCATGAAATACCCCCCCCCCACTTTTTATCCTTCCCTTTCTTCTTCATCAAATATAGGCTTTTATATTCTGGAGTAATTAAAAACTCTTAATTGTAATAGTCCATTTTTATCAATGTACCAGGATATCAAACTGTGAGTTGAGTTGCTGTGGGTTTTTTTGGTGTTTTTTTTCCCTCGAATGTGCATGTCTTTGCCTTATTGGTTTTTTAATTTTAATTTTTAGTGCACAATGAGCATTTTGTCCACATGAAAATGGTAGAATAAATTAAATGTATTATATTAATTAT